GAAGGGTCTAGGCCCGAAACGTCAGCCTTCCTGCTCCTCTGATGCTGCTTGGCCTGCTGTGTTCATCCAGCTCTACACCTTGTTATCTCAGATTCCCCAGCATCTGCAGTTCCTACTATCTCTGAATCAATTGTGAGCGGTCTGGTTCAACCTGAGACTGTGACTAGCGAGGGGGGTGGAATCAGTGGCTAGTAAACAATTTGTGGCTGTTGTCAAAGCCAATGTCTGCAGCCTGCAGACTTTTTAACTGGAGAAAATTTAGAGTGGAAGGAAATGTAGACTCATTCTACATGAAATGTGCAAACTCCACACAGACACCCCAAGGCTTGAATCAAATCTGGGTTCCTGTCACTATGAGGCAGCATTGCTAACCACTGTGCCACCATGCTGCCCATTAAATGGCTACACATTGAGCTGTAATTTTTTTTCAAAAATGTACTTTGTTCATAAAATTTGTAAAATTACATGGCAAAACTTTTCAACTTGGTTATTACAGAATTTGCAACAAAATTCAATGCCTCCATATAGAGTGTTCCACTCGATATAATTGAAACAGTCTTAATATTTACAAATATATTCCATGTAAGGTATGCAGCACAAGATCAAAACATTTCAAATTGGAAATTACTGACAGTGCAATGAAAACAAACTTTTCTCCAAACACTATGCTCCATGCCGAGGTGCCTCACAACAATTTCAATACCCTTGATATTCACAATGTACATTCCTTGTCAGGTATTGAACCTGAGGAGCTCGACAGATTCCAGCCCTCATTGTACAATGGCTGAAAACGCTTTAAACAGCAACTATTCTGGGTGGCACAGTGGCTCAGTGGTCAGCACTGCTGCCTCACTGCACTGGGGACCTGGGTTCAATTCCACCTTTGGGCAACTGTCTGTGTGGAGTTTGCACGTTCTCTCTGTGTCTGTGTGGGTTTCCTCCGGGTGCTCCATTTTCCTCCCACAGTCTAAAGATGTGCAGGGTAGGTAGATTGGCTATGCTAAATTGCCCAGAGTGTACAGGGATGTGTAGATTAGGGGGATGGGTCTGGGTAGGATGCTTTGTGGGTCCGTGTGGACTTGTTGGGCCAAAGGGCCTGTTTCCACACTGTAGGGATTCTATGTAAGGATTTGAACATTCTCTATTGTGCCTCTGCAGTGGCTGCCCCAAGCTTTAGTGCATCACTCAGCACATAGTCATAGACCTTGGAATGTGCCAGTTTACATCACTCTGCTGAAATCAAGTCCTTGAGCTGGAAGACTAGCAAGTTTCAGGTAGACCAAAGGAGCATCTTTTACTGATTAGGAGCAAATTACTCAGGTACTGGAATATGTAATGAAAGCAACAAATGCTGGAGATCACAGTGGGTCAAACAGCAGCCATGCCAAGACAGCAAGCTAATGTGTTGAGTCTAGATGACTCTTCATCTTTCACTGAGTTGATCATCTTCTAGCCCAATTGATTTGTCTCCGTGAGGATCACTAGGAACAATCCATACAGTAGAGTTCTGAGTGATGGAGCTGCTCGGGATAAAAACTCTCTCCAGACCTTATTTACCAAGACACATTCCATAGTGGGGTGAACAATAGTTTCTGCTCCACCACAGACACCTCAACTGCAACATACAGTGGGAGGATGAGATTCTGAGTGTGTAGGAAGGATCTGACAGGAAGGGCCTTTCTCACCTCATACCCAGCTATGTCTTTGTGCTTGTTTTTATTAGTTCTGGCGATGAAGTATTCTACCAAATGAGTTTGGCAGCTTGCTCATGGAACCATCTGACAGGATCTACCATCTCCCTTTGCCACAAGGTCTAGAGGCTGTCATGTGAAGACCACTTCCTGATGAATTTTTTTGGTATAAACTTCTCCACGAGGGATAGGTGATATAGCAAAGTCCATCTAGTTGCAGTGTTCTACAACAATGTGGATGGACCCATCCTTTGTAACACCCAGGGACAGGTAGAACCTGTACACATTTGTATTTGCATATGAAGGGTCTATACACAGCTGGATGCAGGCGCTTGGAAGGGTGGCCATCAGGATGAGGGTGATGTTGTGTATATCTCTACCCCCTCTGTCTAGGGGTTCATACAGTGTGTCTCTGTGAGCATGGTCCTTCTTCAACGTCCAGATAAAATGGAAAATATCTCAGGTGATCACTGTGGCGCAGGAGTGATGAATGGGCCAGACCTGCAACATTGAAAGCACAGTAACTGATGACTAGGTTCTTATCTGCAATGGAGAGGGAGCATCATTCCTCTGTACCCATGCTTTGTTTTATAATAGTTACTTGTTCACATACCCTGGCCCCTCCAAACCATATCCTAGCATCTTCAGGTCATCTGACCTGACGATGAAGAGAACAAAGGTTTAGTTGGCTCAGTTCCCAAAAAGCATGGCCTTGCTCTTTGCTTGATTTATCTTGCCTCCTGAATCAAGTTCATATCGGTCACAGATGTTAATCAGTCTTTTCACCATCAGTGGAACCAAGCAGAAGATGATGACATTGTCCACCTACAGAAAAGCTTTGACCTTAGTGCCTCCACTACCTGGATGGTCACCTTTCTTATTTTCACATTCTTTTTGATTGACTTGGCAAAAGGGTTCTATCCAACACATAGGTCACAGGAAAGAGCACAGCTCTGCATGACTCCAAATTTGTTAGGATGGTTTTCTGATTCCCACCCATTGATTGAAACTGCATTACTTTTGTATAGCGCATAAACTCTAGCACTCTGTGCCAAAAGCTTGACCCTCTAAGATGCTACCTTTCTGGTGCAAGCCTTAATCGCTCGCCTCAGTTTAATCATGACCAAACTCTCAAAAGTCAAAATCAAGACACAGTGAAAACTTTGGGAAAGGGGTGTGTGTAATGATTGACATACTGAATGACCAACGGAAGGAGTGTGGTCAAGCGGTAGTGGAAGGTTGGAGGTCATGTAATGAAATCTCCCAGAATAGGTCATCCAGAGTTAAGAACTGTTGAGTCACAGAGAGATGATCATGTAATTTAATATCAACCCAATTTTTCTTTCTCTGGAGCAAGAAACCATTTCAGCATAGCTACATATAGCACACTGCATATCATCATATAAATTAGTAGCGGGAGTAGGTCATTCAGATCTCAAGCCAGCTCCGCCAATCAGTAAGATCATAGCTGATCTGGCAGTGGTGTCAACTCAACATTCTCAACCATCCCAAAAATCATTAAGTGATGATTGATGACTTCCCAGAAAGCAAAACTGGATATGAAACACTTGTTCAACTTGTACTCTTCAAAATGGAACTTCAGTGTGTTAATTTCCAAGTATTACTTTTCATTGCTAAGCTGATTTGTTCCTTCTAGGAAATTAGATGGGGACTCGAGGGAAATAAACTTGCCAGGTTATGGGGCTACAGTAGAGGAATGATGCTGAAGTGCTCTGAGAGAGTCATCATGGAGCGAATGGCCTCCCCCATACCTTAAGTGACTTCATCATTCCATGAAATGTCCTCTATTCCAAAAATTAAAGACTGGAAGATGAAAGATAAAAGATAAAATTTACTTCATTTATTTGTATGAACTCACACATGCACTCTTTTTTGGGGAATGCACTAATTTTATTGCTGGAATATAAAAAAATCTTCAAAAGGCAAACATACTACCCCCTGCCGAGAGAGAGGGCACAGCCACCTTCCCTCCATCATTACAAATACACCGAGGCCGGCCTTTGCAATGAATGAGGAGCATGAAGGCGGAAGGAGGGAGATAGAGGAACCCGGAAGCCCAGGCGGAAGTTATGCTTAATCATGTGCCAATGATGTGGCCGCCCGAAGGAAAACCCTCCGCCGACCGAAAAGAGTCCCATTTCCCCCCACCACCGCTTCCGAGTTTTCCCCGTCAAATCTGAAGTGGCGGGACCCGAAAGACCAAGTTTATTTTTATTTGGGTTGCAATGACCGAAGGGGTGGACGGGCGTGTGGGGATTGTCAGTGTTTTTTTTAAATTGAGGGTGGGCGGGGGGGGTTTCTGAAGTGACTCCACCCCCTTCCACCTCACTTTGATCTGATGGTCTGGGTGGAGGGGCGGGTCACCGGGTGCAGGGTAGCGCTCCGCCGTTTCCGGTTTTCCGCCATTGCGGCTCCCGCTGCGGCTCGGGGCCCCGTCGACGGTTTATAAAAGGGAGGCGGGCGGCAGGAAAGGTAGCAGCTTCAGGTGAGTGTCCGAGGGAAGTGTCCCTTCCTCACCGTGTGGGGAGGTTTTTGGAAAATTTCCATGTTGGTTGATGTCATTCGATGTAAAATAATTTTTTTGTATTTTTTTTTTCCAGATCCGTACATACACGCCTCGGTCTCTCTCTTCCCTGGCTGTTTTTTCCTCTTTTTTTTCCTCCGTCGCTGCGTTTTTTTTTCTCTCGCCGGAGGATCTCTGTTTTTTCTTCTCCTTGGACTCGCTGAGCGCCAGCGTCGTCTGTCGACATGGCTCAGATCCTGCCTATCCGCTTCCAGGAGCACCTGCAGGTAACTTGCTGAATCAATCAATCAATCAATCAATTAGTCAATCTGTCAACAAACGATGATTTAATTTTCAAATTTTAACCCCCTTCCCTCCCTGAGGTCCCCACCCCCGTAACCTGGGCCTTCGCTTCAGACCGAGCCCTGGCTAAATGTCATCCCCACCCACATACAGTACTCCCGTTTCTAATCTTCGACCCCACCTCCCTCCCTCTCCTGTTTGGCTGTAGATTATTCTTAATCCGGATTTGCTTCTCCTGTATATCTCTCGTTCTGCAACCCCCTTCTCTCCGTAATCTCGGACACTTTTTTCACTTTGAAATATTATCTAGGGGAAGGTTCAACCTTGGATTACACCGTGGCACCGTTTCACAATATCACCCGTATGAGGAAATGTGTGAATGCCTGCACACACTTTTTTCAATATAGCTTGTCTTCTCTAACCCCACCCCTGGTTTAAAGCTTTACCTTACTGGTGGCCCAGGAAATGCTGATGGTGCCCATCTGATTTTTTTTAAAAAATAAATTGGAGTGAGTTCAGGCTGTGAATGTTTTTGCCGAATGGAGTTTAGTGCAGATGTTTCTAATGCTAACCATACCAGGCTTCCACCCCGCTAATGTTTGTCCATCTTTAATCTGAGATGTCAGTTTGGAAGAGGAACAATCATATAATGAGCCTTCAGTGTTTTAAACTGAAATTTGACTTGTACTATAAATAATGTGTACAACCCATGGCAATGTTTGCAGCTAGTAGTGACATAACTGAACTTATTTTTTTCAACTGGTTGTAACTTTGCAATTTTCTGATGTTGAGTTATGCTTCCAAAATGGGCTTGATAGTGGTTCAACTTGTCAATTAAGATCTGCTCACTTTAAATATGTTTGGTTTGCTTGTGCTCAATGGTTGGTGCACTTGATAATTCTGTAGATGTGTTGGAATCTTGAGTGGAATTGTCCATATTAATCTTTAATTCTCATGTAGTGTTTCTTAAACTTTTTTTGTTTCATAGTTTGTGTATTTTCACTTAGTATCTATTTGCAGTTGAAGATGTTAGAATGCATTGGTTCTCCAGTAACTTAACAGGTATTAAATTGGGAACTAAACAATGAATTCTTCAGTTGCTAACTTACCCTGTGTATCACTCATTTTATAAATGAGCCTTTTAGAACAAGTTACACTTTAACTGAGTTACTAGTAGCATTTTTAAACTTAATTGGGTGTTACTTGAGCTGGTGACATAGGAGCTTGGAACGTGAAAAGGCAAGGTTTACAATAACTCACTGCCACACCAGTGATAATTGAGTTTATCTTGTTTGCCTTAAAACTGAGGCCGTATTCAGTTTGATCTGAAAAGTTGGGAGTGTTTAAATTGTCACTTATGTTGCCTTTACAATTTATAAACAGGTGAGTGGGCAAGAGGGAGACTGTAAATCTGTACAAAGCACTTACCTAAAATGTGTAGACATGCCAATCTGCTTTCTCCTTGGAGATGCTAAATAACCAGCTGCCATACCACAAACTCTGGGTCTGATTGTAACTAGGGAGTCAAATGTTTTGAACTTGTCATCCTAAGCTATAGGGTGTTGTTTCAATGGGACACTAGTTTAATTTGGTTAAAGTTAATTTGTAGTGACACTTCATACCATTGCTCCATCCTGACTCAAGGAGTGAGTAATAAGTCCTCTACAAAGGTGTAGAGCAGGAAAGCTGATGTTTTGTGTCGAGATGCTTCTTCAGAAGGGTTCTCTGAAGGCATTTCTGAAGAAGGGTCTAGGCCTGAAACATCAGCCTTCCTGCTGTGTTCATCCAGCTCTAAACTTTGTTATCTCATTCTCCAGCATTGGCAGTTCCTACTATCTCACTTCAACTATGAAGTTCTTTGCTAAGAACATCACTTCAGAAGATCAGTGACTTTTACCCTGGAGTGTCTGCACATGCATTCCATGATTCTTGATACTTTTACTAAACAAAGTACTGATAACTAACTTTCAAAAATACACAAGCTTTCTGGCTTACTAACTTCAGACTTGCACAACATGAGGTCCAAAGGGCTGCTGCTGGGAAGTGATTAGAGAATTTGCTTTGGATGCAAAATCCATGCAGCTATTTAACAAATAGGTTTTAGTCATGTATGTTGTGCAGTAAACCTCCTGTAAGTTGGTGGTTGATGCCGTATTGATCAACCAATACTGCATTCAGTGAATGATAGCACTTAGTATGCAAGTATATCTGTTTGATTACTGTATAATAACCCTTCTGACCCTGATCCCTTGCATTCTAACTGCAGTCAATGGAAATCTAAAATTTGTTGCTTTTTGACCTCCCTCTTTCTTTCTAATTTAATTAGAATATTTCAAACATGGAGACTGTGTCCTTTAATTTGCTGTCTGCCTTTACTATTTGGGACAAACTCTTTGGCAGGAGAGGGCTTGCTAGGGTATTGAATGCCCTTGCAAGATATTCAGTCTAAACCTTTTCTAATGTTCAAAGAATACTGCAACAAGTAGTGATCACATTTTTCAACTGATCATCTTGTGGATTGCAATGTGCAAATCTAATCCTGGACTAGAATCACCTTGAAGCTTTTTAGCAGTGCTCTGTGTAACCAAAACAAAAGTAGAAATTGCTGGAGAAAGCCTGGCAGCATCTGTGGGAAGAGAGTTAAAGTTGAGTCCAGTGACTCCTGAGTGCAGCACACTTGGTCTTGTGTAGCTCTTGATTGGAATTGAACACTTGCACAAATCTTCATCTTGTACTTGGAGTAGCCTTATGGCTTTTGCAGCCTCCTTATCTTGAGGCAATTCATGAGCCAGGCCCAGCAAAATGAATGCTGGGCTTTACCATCGATGCTTTTCTCACTGAAGCTACCACTTGAAAGGAGTATTCTGATCTGTTAACTGCTACTCTCTCCAAAAGGAGGCAAATCACTTCTAAGTGAGTGACTCTCTTTACCTTTGCTGTATTTACTGGAACTGTTGACAGTCATCCTATTAAGTGAGCCTAACTGAATTGTAACCACTTGTATTGAGTACCTGGTGTGGCTAGCAGTAGGAATGGTTGCACCAAGTAACAGAATTGAGTTGTAACTGGCTTGCATCAGTTAATAGGCTACAATGTTTTGTAGCCAAAAGCTGTATGGTCTGACCAAAAACTTTGCCACCTTTCCTGTATTGCTCTCAACTTCACCCTGCTTTGCATCACCAGTCCATACTACTGAAAATACTCAGTTTAAACAGCTTTTCCAGGGTGCATGACTATAGTTCGTTTGCACTATTTAATCTGTACCCAGTGTCACCTTTCCAAGTAATTGCCCTCCTGAACCTTCCCTGCCCTCACTTTCTAAGGCTTATTTTAGCCAGTAGCTTTTTGTCCACTGTCATCCCTCTTTCAACTGCCTTCATGTCTCTCCTCTTGTGATTGTTTTGATAACTTAAATAGGAGTTGGGATGTCTTGAGGTTGTACAGGATGTTGGTGAGGTCTCTCCTGGAGTGTTGTGTACAGTTCTGGTCACATTCCTTGTAAGAAGGGCATTAAATTGGAGAAGATGTAGAAAAGATGAACAAGGATTTTACTTGGTATAGAATGTTTGAGTTCTGAGCTTGGATAGGTTGGAACTTTGCTCCCTGGAGCATTGGATGTGGTGGGGTGGGGAAACAGGTGATGTGACCTTTGTAGAGATCTGTCAGATGATGAGGGGCCTAGATAAGGTGAATAACAAAGTTCTTTTCTCTCGCCTATGGTAGGAAAGTTCAAAACTAGGGGCAAATTTTAAAGAACCTGTGGGTGATGTCGGAAGGTGACTGGTTCATGGAATGAAGTGGTAGATGTTCTAACTGGATATGTAAGACATTTGGATGGTACCTGAGTTAGGTTTAGAAGGATGCGCCAAACAAGTAGGGCTAGTTTGGGAAACTTGGTCAGCATGTTTTCAACCTGTGTATGATTCTGACTGTTGTTGCCTTTATTTCTAGCCTGGGCCAGAGTCTGGCTTGTGACAATCTTTGATAATAGATAACAAGGTGTAGAGCTGGATGAACACAGCAGGCTGAGCAGGAAGGCTGATGTTTGGGCCTAGACCCTTCAGAAATGGAGGGGAAGGGGGTTCTGAAATAAATAGGGGGAGGTGGATAGAAGATGATAGGTGGAGCTTGTGACAATTTTTTTCCTGCATTGACAGTTCTGGAATTTTTTCAGTCCTGATCTGCATAATACAAAACCTGCTGTGCAGGACCAGATGGATTCCTTTTCACTCTTCCTCATTTGGTTTATTTGCATTCCACTTTGGGTCTAAGGTGCAAAATGTTCCATTATATGCACCCAGTACATCTCTGCAGGTGGTTAATGCTTTTATTGTAATGAGATGCTAGATTGTTCCCTGATAAGGTAACAAATGTAAAAGCTTCAATACCTACACTGTACACTAAGCTTGACTGACTACAGGCAAACTTTGCCTTTGTCAGCAGGCAATTTGAATTGGTGTAGTGCATATCCTGTCCTGTGACTGGTGTTTAAATTTTACCTTTTCCTACTGTAAAATGTTCTAAGACTTTTCCACACGAGAATCTGGTATTGGCATGTGACTTTGAAGTCTGTGCCAAGAACTTTTGAGCTGGTTTTAGTGTCTTGGATCTTTGCCTTTCTCCTCCCTTGGAATTCCAGCACTTGGAAACAATGCCCATGTGATCTTCAGCCCAAGAGGCAAAGATTGAAGGATTTGATACCTAGGTGGTTGGAAGCTTTGTGGGGAATGCTGCAAACAAAGGACTTTGGTATAACCAGGGGCCAGTATAGTTGTGTGTAGACCTTGGTGTGAGCAAGGGCACAAGTTACAGAATTTTGGATGACTGGGTTTATGTATTTAAGAATATGGGATGCAGGCTAAGATCTTTGGACTTAACTACAGTAAGTTTATGCTGCTGATGAAAATAGACTAAGTGACACTGCAGAGCTAGAAACAGATTGTCTGTGTGGACAAGTGGCTGATCAGAAGGTCATCTTCAGGGC